TGAACATGTGTGAATGTAGAATAACAGACACACTCTAGTCTCCTGCTTATTTACTATATTCTCAATATTTCCAAATTCATTATGTATTCTTTTTAAAAAGAGTTTTTGAAGAACCAGTTCATTTTTTTAAAATTCCCTATTCCAACAGGGATTATTATTATTCACTGCAATAAAAAACCCGGTGGGGGTGGGGACTTAGCTCAGTGGCACCACACCTGCGTCCCAAGCACAAGATCGTGAGTTTCACCCCGGTACCAAAAAAGAAAAAGTTGGGGATGCAACTCAGGGCTGGAGCACTTGCCTTGCACATGCACAGACCCGAATTCCAGTTCCAATACAGCTGAAAAAGAAAAAAAGAGAAGCATGTTGATGAAACACCTTTTAAATAACTCCCTGTACTCCTCTGATTATATTTTTTCAGAATAAATTTCCAGAGGTGGAATAGTTAGATCAAATGATACACTTTTATTTTTTCAAGTCTCACTGTGTAGTTCAGACTGGCCTCAAACTTACAGCAACCCTGGCTCAGCCTCTGGAACTAGACATGTGCATCACCATGCCCAGCTAAACAACAGACTTTTATAGTTTTTTATTTATGTTGTTTTCAGAAAGATGCTATTAATTTATATTCCCAATGACACTGTGTATTTGCCAACCTTATGTATTATGTTTTTTAAAATCCTTGACAAAGAGATACTCCACTTTTTTTTAAATCTCTAATATGTTTACTAGTGAGTATGGGCGTTGAAAAATATTTATCCATCACCCATGTTTATGGTGGTGCTGTTTATAATAGCTAAAGCTAGAAAAAAATGGGAGAGAATGAAAAGATGAAAATAAAGTGTTTGTAGATGGGAAGGGGAGGAGGGGGTGAAGGGAGGGCAGAGGTAAGGGGAAAAAAATGAGAATCAAGACTTGCCATGTAAAGGTACATGATCCCAACAATGAATGTAACTGTACTGTATCCCTAAATGTACCAATAAACTCAATTAAAAAAATAAAAATAAATAAAAAAAAATAATAGCTAAAGCTTGGAAACAGCCTGATTGACCATCAACCGGAGACTGAATAAGAAAGATGTGGCTTTTTTATAAAATGGAGTACTACTCAGCCATAAAGAACGAGAAACTAGAGACATTTATAGCTAAGTGGATGCAGAATGAGGTCATACTCTTAAGTGAAATTAATGGGACACACATGCATAAATACCGAATAGTTTGTCTGTCGTGATAAACTTAAAGTGTACATAAGAATCAAAATGTATAACTGATATTGTGTGATAGGAAAAAGGTCTAAAGATAAAGGGGAACTGGGAAGGATAGGGAAAAGGTACAAAGGGAACAGAAAAAATAAGAGAAAAGGAACTTTTTGTAAATAGGGAAGGGGGGCTGCAAGGAGGCCAGGGGAATGGGGGAAAAAATAAGAACCAAGATACATCATGTAAAGGTACAAGATCTCAACGATAAATATAACTGTATTGTATACCTAAAAGGTACCAATAAAGAAACAAAATTCAGAATTTCACTGAAAAATATTATCAGTGCAACATCTTCTTTGGTACCATTTCTGTTTATGTCCTTCACTCATTTCTAATTTTTTTTTTTTTTTTTTTTTTTTGTACTGGGGATCAAACTCAGGACTTTGCACTTGTGAGGCAGGCAGCAGCACCACTGAGCTAAATCCGCGGCCTGTCCTTCATTTATTTCTGCATGTAGAGTGTTAGTGTGCTACATAGCAGTGTGTAAGAGGTCAATACAGTAAGATCAGTCTTGTCATATTTGTTAAAAATATGTTTTCTTGGGCCAGGGATTTAGCTGAGTGGCTCTGCTACTTTCCCTGCAAGTGCAAGGTACCAAGTTTGATCCCTGGTACCAAAAGAAAAAAAAAAAAAGTTCTCCTATTTGTGACTTGCCTTTTGGTAATAATATCTGATGTTATCTAAGTCTTGTATATTTATTCAAATGTATCTACCCTCCTTGCTCTTGCCTCCTTCCTGTGCCTTAACACCCAGGCCTTCTCTTTTGTACAATTCACCAGTTTTCTTCTAATTCTCTTGTGATGCGTTTAACTAGCTAAACTGGGGATTGAACCCAAGGCCTCACTCATGCTAGGAAAGTGCTCTACCACTGAACTACATCCAACCCCAACTCCCCTTTTGTTTGTTTGCAGCTCTTGTGTTTACTTTAGTGATGGTTTTCTCTCTCTCTTTTTTTTTTTTTTTTTTTTTTTTTTTACAAACTCGGGACCTTGTGCTTGTGAGGCAGGCAGCTCTGGTGATGATTTTACATTTGCCCCCAGTGTACATTTTATATTTGCCCCAACTTTCACCTAATTTATTAAATAATTTATCCATTTCCCTATAAAAGTACATCACCACATCTATCACTTAGTGGATTTTTTTTTTTTTTTTTTTTGAGACAGGGTCTCACTATGTAGCCCAGGCTGGTCTTCAACTCACAGCAGTCCTCCTGCCTCAGCCTCCCACGTGCTGGGATTATAGGCATGGGCCACCATACCTGGCTAATTCAGATTTTGTTGATTAAGACCCTTTTATTCAGTAAACCTTTGAAAAACATGTATAGGCCAGGAATGGGAGTAGCAAGGCAGGCCACCGAACCGCTGAGCTAAATCCCTGGCTGGATTTTTAAATATAATGAACATTTCTAGGCTTCAGTTATTACACTCACACACTCTATCCATTCTGAGGTTTGTTTTGTTAATTTTTTGGTTGTTGTTGTTGTTGTTTTGCAGTACTGGGTTCTAATGTGATTGCACTGCCTCAGCTTCCCAGAAGGCTGAGATTAAATGTATGTGGCTCCATGCCCAGACAACACTATTAAAGTGCTGCAGGATGCTTTAAAATTTGATTAAAATGCAGGTCTACCTCCACATTTTAAAAAATTTAGATTTCTTAACTATTCTCAAATATATCCTTCCACTCGTATGTTAGAAAAATTGTCAAGTGCACCCCCATCTACCCAGAACCATGGGAATTTCAGTAAATAGTTTAGGTAAACTTGAAATTTTTGCTCTTTTTCCCCCTTTGGGCCTGTCTTATTACCTTCCGATCTTTGTAATTTCTTCTTTAAGACCCTGCACAATTATTAAATTTATTCCTAGGTATTTAACACTTTGCAAGGTCTCATGCCAGGCACGGTGGCACAAGTCTGTAATGCCCGCACTTGGGAGGCTGAGGCAGGAGGATCGCCTCAAGTTCGAGGCCAGCCTGGGCTACACAGTGAGCTCAAGGCCAATCTTAACTATACAGCAAGACCCTGTCTCAAAAACAAAAAAATAGCAACTCACAAGCTTTTTTGTTAAAAGTGCTTTTTAAGGTCAATTCAAGCTCATCAAAACTGACTTTAAATTTTTTCCCCAAGTAGGTCTTGTAGAAAACCAGACAGAAACTAAAGGCTTTTTAGTAGTACTTATGGAGTGTTCACTTTATCACCAGGTTTAGTAAGTATCCTCTCGCACCATCAGTCTCACTCAGTGACACTCTAGCCTGTGGGTGCAACTTGCGTTCCTATTTTATGTGACCTCTGGTTGAGTGTATGAGAAATTTGGCAAAAATCACCCAGTCATGGGGCCGGGGATTTAGCTCAATGGCGCTGTGCTTGCCTCGGAAGCTTAAGGTCCTGAGTTCAATACCCGGTTTAAAAAAAAAAAAAATCATCCAGTCGGTCGGCAGATTGGATCCCAAAGAACAATATCACAAAACTCAGGACAGCCCAGGGCTGAGCCTTCAAAGAGGCTCATTTACGAAAGCGCCTTTCCAAAAACAACGTAAAAGCACTTCTTTCCAGGGCCAGGGTGTAGCTCAGTGGCACCGCACCTGCTTCTAAAGCACAAGGTCCTGAGTTTGATCTTCGGTGGAAAAAAAAAAAAATCACAATAAATTAGGTAAGTACAGACAATAATGGCATTTAATGACAAAGTAAATTTACAAATTAAAAATATTGTTTAAAACCACCGCTTTCCACCCACGGTGCCAAGACTGGTTCTCCTCTACCTCAAGGCATAGATAGATCCGCCTTGCAGCACGGGGAGCATAACGAGTATCAGCGGCTTATTGAGAGCCCCCCGTTCCAATGGGGAACTCGCGGATAACTAAGGGTTGTAGAGCTTCTGTGCGGAACGTGGTTTGGCAATCCACCCTCTCATCGCGGAGCAGATTCTAAAACAAGAAGCAAAAGCAGGTGGACCGGCCGCAGGTTGGCCAGCACCGCGCACGCGGGCGGAGAACTTTCAAGGGGCGTCGCGCTTCCCGAGGGCTGCGCGCA